AAAGGGCGCCGATATTTAAAAAAAAAAATAACAAATACTCTGTAAGAAATTACTTAATTATAATTTTTTTTTTTTAATCAATTACACAATTAATTTTTTTCTTAAAAAATGAATGAGCGTTATGAGGCGTGCACTTTTGGATTTTCCAAACTTTTTAGAAATACATTTTTTTATATGGCTACTCAAAGGACAGAAAATTTCTCCAACTGCCAGCCGAAAAAAATTAATTATTATTAAATAAAACAATATTAAGCTGCAAGGTTCATGAACTTTTTAATATGCTCACCCGTAGATGAACAAATTTTCGTTAACTTAATGTTTCGTAGACTTTTCAAAAAAACTGTTTAGTCAAAATGTTTCCGTCAAAATACAATTTTACGAAATATTTTTAATGCTTCTGCAGCAATGTGAATAACCGGTATTTAATGCAATCATTAACATGCATTTAATTTAATTCCAGATATTCGGTGCTTTTCTCGCATGGGAAACTCGGCACGTAAGCATACCAGCGTTAAATGACAGCAAGTACGTTGGAATGAGTGTTTATAATGTTGTAATAATGTGCGTCACCGGTGCGGCTATCAGTTTTGTCCTCGCTGATAAACAGGATACTATGTTTATAATGCTGTCGATATTCATTATATTTTGCAGCACCGCTACAATCTGCCTTGTTTTCGTACCAAAAGTAAGCAAACTTTTTTTTTTTTTAAATTTACAATTAGCAAATGTGACCGAATAATTATTTTGATTATGAAATTTGTTGAAGCCAAACTAATTTTTGTAGTTATTTTGATTTTCAATGAAAATAGTTCTTGATCCAAAAAATATTAGAGCAATACTACAAAAAATATTATTAAACAATAAATAATTTGTTTCCTAATAGATAAATTCATTAACAGCTAGTGAATTCTTTTATCCGAACAAAAATAGTTTCACTGTAAAAAAATCACGCCGACGACGTTCACAAGATTATTATTAAAAAAAATTCATTTTTTACACAAAAATATGAAATAAAAATAAAAATTCTGTCTGATAGCTAAAAATTTATAGGGTAAAAGACCCCATTAGTGGCGGGGATCCCATTACTGAAACTTTTTTTGATTTTGGTACTTAATCAATTAATGAAATCATTAATTTCTATTATGAATATATTATTTCTAATCTTTATGACCTTTGGATCAAAAAAATTTTTAATTTTTATTCCAAGTCGAACATTTTTTCATTGAAAAAAAAGTGCCACTAATAGGGGCTTAGAGGTGCCACTAATGGGGTCTTTTACCTTACATAGAAAAATGAAAAAATGACATAAAAACCAGAATATTCTATAACCACGCACACCAAGTACGCTCAAAATTTTTTTTTCATTAATTTTTGAGTTTGCACCGAATTTTTTTTTGAACATGGACTAGCATGATTTTTTACAGTGAAAATGTTTTTGTTCATATTTAAATATAAGGTCATAATCAAACTTAAACTAAATAAAATATCAAAATAATGATTTCATGATTAAAATTTAAAAAATATATCAAAAACTTAAATATTCAAAATATATTTGTTAATGTGTGTTATTCATTTAATTTTTAAAAAATTTTTGATATAAAATTCATTTCATGGGTGTTATTTGAAAAAATGATAATCATATAAACTCACAGAATGCCTCAATTCCGATGTTCAAAAGGAATATTTCTTTATTGGATAGTATCAGAGCAATATCACAAAAAAGAAATATCCCTAAAGGACAACCTCGATGGCATCATGTTCCTTAAAATAACCTAAAAAAACTTATACTACCCTCCACCGTAATAATTAACAACCATAATTACGACCTTAAACTAACATGCAATAAATTAACCGAAAAAAAATAAAAGCTGACATTAAATAAATCAAATTAAAACTAAATCTTAAAAATAACTTGAAAATAAAAAAATTTGAGTTATTTTATTTATCACTTCTTTTTCTTTTGGGAGCTGGATGAACCGCATTTATGAACTTTATTTTCCTCTTCTCCTGGATTTTTTTCTCCGGGCAAGTCTTCAGTTTTTGAAGAACATCCTTTAATTTTTCTTCTGTTGGGTCCAAATTGGGAGTAATAGTTTTTTCATGCTTTTTCGTCCCTTGATCGTTGGCTCGGGTTTTATCAATTTCCTTTGTATAAAAAATTTCTTTTATATGAAAAATTTCTCAAAATTTTAATACTTCAATATAAGTATTATTACTTAAAAAAAATAGATGAAATGTTTCACTTGAATTATCATATACAACAAAAACCAGTTTCACTGTAAAGTGCTGTACCAATAAGTACACATCAAAATCTTTGTACTAAAGTAATAATTTGTATATTTACGTTTTTTACTCCGGTTCAATTAATTCATTCAAATAAAATGTTTCATTTCGAAAAAACCCACTTTGTTTTAGTGAAGTCACACAGTAGTGCCATTTCTCGGAATTCTTCATAAATACATACTACTGCTTCAATCGCTCGTAACAAGAATGTATACATAACAAAATTACACATATAGCTACCTAGAGGTATAATTCTAGTGTGAATGTTACTCTATAAAAACAAATTACACAAAACAAAGGGATATTGCTCTCCGAAATAAATAAAAATTATGTCCAGACAATGATTTCTAGGCTCAAGAATTTGATAAAATAAACAGTAAATTATATTAGTTTTTCAATAAAAAATATCAATATATTCTTTTATTGTAAAAAGTAGCTAAACAAACGAATAGCTTCTCTGACGTAAATAAAAATTACCTATATCAATTTGACCAATTCTTCAGACAAGAAAGAATTCTTAAAAAAAAAAGTACATCAACGGAAACTGTTAATAGAAGTATTTTTTCCCCACTATGGATTGTTATTTTTAATAAATATTTATTAACTATTAATGAATGTACGTCTCATCCAAGAAAATTTTTAGTAAAAGATAAAAATAATTATTTAGATTTAATTAATAAATAAACTGTTTTCAAATAAATGAATTAATAAATTTCTCTATTAGTGTAATTAATTTGCAAATAAATTAAGTGGCAACAATATGATTTTCCATCGCTCCTCACACAAAAAAAAAAATTTTTTTTTAAATTCCCTGCAAACAACTGATCAAAAGTCTGATTGATTGATCGAATATTTCTACCGAGAAAAACCATCGTGCGATAGAAAAATTTTTCCGATCAATCTTAATATCTGATATTCGATCTATCCTAGTCATGTTACAAAACTTTTACGATCGCTGAGTTACGAGCTTTAAAACAAATAAGTTTTATGGCTCTCGGCTTATTATTTCCAAACAAATCCTTCCAAAATCTGAAATCATCTTATGTTCTATTTTCAATAATCCAACTTTCTTGCTTGAAAGTTGAATAATCCTTTTCAGCAACTCTTTCTTTTCAAGAATGCTCACCACTTACTTATTATAAATTAGAATATAAGAAGAAAAATATTTTCCAGCTCATTGAATTAAGAAGAAACCCACAAGGAGCAATCGATAAAAGAATTCGAGCAACTCTGCGTCCCTCATCAAAAACGCGGCGAGACTCGACGGTCAGTGAGCTGGAGGAACGTTTGAAGGATGTTACAACCGCTAATCAAAAATTCCGCAAGCAGCTCTTGGAAAAAGAATCTGAACTTCAAGTTTGTTATCATTTTTTTTTTCTATTCAAAGACAAAAATCAATAATTGTTATTTTTTATCCTCTTATATTTCTTTTTCTGATCATAATTAACAAACCTTTTTTATTCGTAGATGTACCTGAGCAAACTCGGGGATGAGGATCTCTTACGAGATACCAAAGAAGCAATGGATAGATTATCAGTACCGAGAAATGAAACTTTAATAAAAAAAGAAGGTAATTTAGTTTTTCATTTTTTATTTAAGCACTTAACGATACTCTTCTTATGGCATTTCTCTACTGAGTGTAATCAAATGATCCGTGTAATTTGTTTCCAATTACAAAAGTTATTTTTCACTTGTATTTTTTTTTTTTTTTTTTCCCCATTTTAGTAGACAATTAAATAATTATTTGTTATCTTTTTTCAATATCACTATCACTGTCTCTGACATCTTTTATCATCCAAACATTTATTATCCCCTTTATGCTATTTTGTATTTATTGTGTATCAATCTGTACTAGAACTCACAATCCAGAGGCATGACACTCAAAATCACAAAGGTTAGTTTGTGTTTGTCTATTGTTGAGAATTAGCACATTTTAATTTCAGTATTTGATGCTGTTTGATTGTTTGGAACTATTGATCTTCAATCTGAACAGACTGTTATTGAAGGATTTAATTACTGAAGTTTAACTGTATTATTTATAGATAATATATTGAATTATTCATGGTAAATTGGCGGGAGAACGGAATGACCTGACATTCAGAAGAAGACAATAGTGACCTCAATTGTCAGTTACTAGATCAGTGAAAATTACTTCAATAATAAATGACAGCCGAAATTCTTGTTACTACATAGTTCGAATTAACAATTGTTAGATATTTTTTTTATAGAAATCAAAGTTTTTTGAAGATTAAAATATCATAAGTTACGTCCTCTCAATTTCTTTTCACTCTTCTCGGGATGGTTCCCCCACTACAGTTCTATAGAAAAAATGCTATTGACGATTCTCGGTCGACATAAAATTTTAACATTAAAAGCCTTAAAACTAATTGAAAAATTTACGTTTTCAATCTTTCATGTGAATTTGAAGAAAAATTTTACAAAATATTAATTTTTGATTTTATATGCCAAAAAAAACTATGAGACCGTGAAACTAAACAATTAATAAAGATTAATTCTTCAATTAAATTTTGGTGGCAAACCGATTTAGCCAATTAAACAAAAATATTGTGTTTCCAAATTAGTTACCAATAAATATTTAGTTATTAAATGATAACGAATATAAGCTTGTGTATAAAGTAAATAATTTTAAATTACTAATGCATACTGGTGACAACGCTCAATTGAATTACTCGGTAATGATTGATTATATTTACTGAATAAATGAAATAACTACGAATCTCACATTTCAGGGGTATCGATGGTCACTGAAACTACTGACGTTTCAATATCACTGTGCAGTTTGAATTCAACAACAGTTTCGCAACCGGAGAGTGAATATGTTAATGTCATTGCTTCAAGCAATCAACCAACAGCTAGGTATATAATATATACCACACTTTGTAAATGTATAAATATTTACTCATTCATTAAAGAGACGAGGAATATCGTTCGAATAATTACATTGTACAAAATCGAGAGAGAATTTTCACTGTCATCACTCGGAGTACCGTTTCTAAACTAAAATAAATTTTAATTAGCTGAAACAAGTTTCATATACCAAAATACTAACAAATATTTCAAAAAATGTATCTGAAGTTTAATTTTGTAAATATTAATTTTGTTTTTCCTAAAAATTTGGCTTTGGAACATTGAACAAAATTTTCATTAAGATTAGTTTGTTTTTCAGTCTTGTCCATAAATTTTGACGTACGTAACGTTCCCACTAAATTTAAGTTTACTAATTAACGAAAATGAATTTATTTTACTGAAAAAAAAGTTTTCTTCTCGGCACCATCTACTTTATAGTAACAAGTGTATCGTTACGAGTACAATCCGTACAACTACGAGTAGCAGTCTGGATATAATAGCGACCGTCACGATCCATTCGGGTGCCATTCACGATACTATTGCTACCGTTAATATACAGTTTTTCTAACCTCACTCTCCTTTAGATAGCAACATGTGGATCATGACAGAAGCAATATCGTATCGTGCAGAGCAGAAAACTTTTTTTTTGTTATACTCGCTCCCAAAGTTCAACTTTTAAGCGCTGGGTGGCGTCCGAAAAGATACTCATTTCTAGAGACTCTACCATACCGCCTTTTTTCCGCGATTTCGCGGCCTAGGCCGCAAAGTTTACTTTCCCCTTTCTTTTCCGTACTGTTCTTGTGCAAATCGGATGAAATTTAGAACAAAATAAATCAAATTCTAGTGTACTGACCGATGGATTTTGAGTTAATTTTAAACTTAGTTACTATTGAGTGGCGCTAATTCTTTCTCTGCTGACAGTTTATTACGAAGCGGACCTAATGTTATTAAAATAACAAGCGCGTTATAAATAAATATTAATAAAAAGATAATTAATATAAAATTAAGTTTTTTTGCTCTTGTGAAACTTCATAAAATTTGAATGTCATTATTTGCCTCTTATCCCTCAAAAGTTAAACTTATGGAGCGATAATAACAAAAAATATTGTATGTCATTTGGCCGCAAAGTGGTGATTTTGACAACGACAATTTTACGATATTCGCTTTTAAGTTTGTGGCGGGAATGTACGAAAACGAGCGTAAATTTTCGTCCTCGGCTTCGCCTCGGACGTTAAAATTACGCCCGTTTTCGTACATTCCCGCCACAAACCTAAAGCTCATATCGCAACATCGTCGTTGTCAGAAAATCGCCACTTTGCGGCCATATGACATAAATTACTATATTAAGTCGGAACAACTCTTCATCCGACTTAGAAAATCAGATTTTTTGCCAGATTTGGGACTCTGCCAGAAGAGTTATTCAGAATTATTGAATCTTCACATTAATTGCACTTGCTGTTGGAAACAGATACTACTCAAAGAGTAAATCCAATCAGTATTTAATTTGAACTATCAAATATTCAAGTCAACTTTCTAGATAGGAAAAAATTTTTTAACCACACGCCATCTATTAGAAACTAAGGATACTCAAAGACTCTAACTGTGAATTCATGGACTAAAATATGTTTAGTATCAATTAATTTTAGCAGATGGCATGTGGTTAGAAAATTATTTGTGTGCACTTCATTTGCTGTTGATGTTTTGACTTGCTCAACTATGAGTTATTCGATGCGCATCGAAGTATTTTCGTGATGAAAATATTATTTTAAAAAAAATTTTTACAAAACATGCATTAATTCTTTTTTATAGTTTTATAAACACTCCGTATTTATCCCGCAAATTTTGACAACGTACGATCAATAAGAATCTAATTCATTTTTTTCAAATATCTAATCACAAAAATAATTTGTAATTTATTTTTTTTCTTATCTAGGAAACGAGCGTCCTTTGGGAAAGTCACAATAGACAATGAGCGAACAACATTATTACCTCAGGCAATGAGTTCCCCAACGACAAATCATTACAAAAAATCACCGAATAATAACAATACCATTAATAATAACAATAAGAATAATAATATTAATAATACGGAAAACCAAGAGACTGAGCCGTTGCTTATTAAACGTAGTCCTGAGCCCAGGATTATGACGACAAATGTTAACGGCGATAAGAAATCTTCAGCTTTAACAGTTACGTCAGTATCTTTGCCGACGACAACATCGATACTAACTTCTACATCCGTAGCTCTTAAAAAGTCCGGTGAGTTTGCAGAGGAGCCACTTGGGCATGAGAAAACTAAAGATACTAGTGTGGAAAAACGAGCTAAGCTCCCTACACCACCTCCACCGACTAAAAATGTATCTTTTGGGGAACTGAGGGAAGATAACTATTTGGAGCAGGCGATACTACCGCCGCCAGTGCAATTTGTACCTAAACATCGACATACGCGTAAGTTTTTATTGTTAGTCTTTTAAGGAGGTCTGATTACTCAAATCTTTCATGAAACGAATTATATGGAGTCAAAATTACATTAACTTTTTTTTTCTGTATTTTGCATGTAAAAACAAACAATTAAAAAATAGTATACTCCATGCGTTAGAGCATTCAACTTTTTTGGCCATGGGTTGTATACTATTTTTCTTGATCCCCATCCGAAAATACGGACACACGAGCGAAAGTGGGAGGGGGCGCCCGACTTTTGCAGAGCCGAGGCGAAGCCGAGGTTTTGCTGGTCGGGGCGGGCTTAAAAAAATATATCACAAATAAAATACAATTCATTGCACGATAATTAAATCCTGAAACTAAAAATTAAGAATAAAAAACACATAAATAAATAAATAAACGCAAATAAATTATTAATTGCCAAATATCATGAAATTTTTATTAAATAGTTTGAATGTATTAACGCATATAATCATTAACACTTTTATAACCACAAAAAGTTTGACAAGCGAATGAATATTGCATGCAGCGTGCTTGTGAATATAGCAATTACACTACCGAGCCAGAAAAAACACGTAGTCCACCAGAGCGCGCTGTAATTCAAACGAGCCACAAAAGTCGTACTTTCTGGAGCGAAACGCGGCCCGAAAGTTCGTATTTTCGGGTCGGGGATCAAGAAATAGTATATTACATACCTAGGCCAGTAAAATAAAAAAAGTCTCAGATCACATGTAATTGTTGGCCGAGGCGAAGCCGAGGTTGACAAACATGTGATCTGAGGCTTTACTTATTTTACTGGCCTAGGTATGTAATATACTAATACATACCTTGGCCAGTAAAAATTAAAGCCTCAGATCACATGTTTGTCAACCTCGGCTTCGCCTCGGCCAACAATTACATGTGATCTGAGACTTTTCTTATTTTACTGGCCTAGGTATGTAACATACTATTGATTGTTTTAATTAAATTTCAAAACAAATATTTTCTGCTCTTGTTACAGCACAATTTTTCAAATATCGTTCGTTACTATTTTTGTGCTTATGACACTGGATTATTTGCACGATCGACTAAAAAGTGGAAAAAAAAGGCACTAACGCCATCTTAAACTTTTTTTACCAGTATGGTATCTAGAGACACAGTAATGACAACACTGAAAACGTTGTATCACTTAGTAAATATCAGACCTCCTAAATTGATAAACTAGTAACTAAGTAGTGTATAAAAATGAAACTACTGAATGTTTTTTAGCACATCATCATCAAACCCTAGCAAAGCGTCGATCATCTGTAAAAAACAACGGTCTAGCACATTCACATCACGAGCTTTTCGAAAAGCGTCGCACTAGCGTGCCAGCAAATTCAATAAGCTACATATCCACGGAGAATATATCTAAAGTGGACGCTTTGAATGACGAGTCACTGAGCAGTTTTGATCGCACATACGTGATTGGGGAATGCGGGCACCGAAGAGCCGCATTGGGCGGTGGGACCGGTTATCGGTGTGAAAAACACGGTGGAGGACGTCTACTTCACACTCATCACATTTCAAATGGCTCGGCGGATATTTCCGGCACTAATACACGAGTAGTCTCAAAGCATCATCGTGATCGCGATAACTTACAGTACTGCAAAAACGCAAGCTCACCAAGTGTTCCGGCAATGCTCAATGCCAGTTACTCTGATACCGGTTAGTCACGCTATCTTCCAATACTACTACTTATATTCATATTGCTTTATATGTTTGTTATCTTTATCATCTGCCAAAGCTTTTACACTAATTATTTCATAGATTGCTACATTATTTGTTTCCAGTATGTACTCTACTTTTACACGACCCATAATGCCAAGCGTTAAAGAGTGCTTTACGATTGAAAAAAATTTTTACGCCTTCCCCCTGCAACTTTTTTCATTGTTACATTGTAAAAAAAAACCGGTGTAAGTCCGGTGTTAAAATTACCGGTGTTAAATTTAACACCGAAATCGGTGTTATAATAACACCGATGTAACACCGTTTGCGGTGTAAATATTTTTTCCGGTGTTAAAACGGTGTTAAACGGTGTTATAAATTTTCCGGCGGTATAAATTTGTTTTAATTAACACAATATTTATAATCGAACCGTACATCTTTAATAATTGGAAATAAATAATAAAAAAAATAATAAAAGAGGAAGATATTGATATTTAAAATTTTTTTCACGTAAAAAGCAATTTGAGGCTAAGCATAATTACTTCAAAAACTTAATTTTTCTATAGAAAAATTATATCAATGTTCCAAAAATGTTGGCCACTCAGCACCAAAAATTCATTTACTACAAATGGAATGAATTGAACGAAAATGACAATATTTTAAAACTCGGAAAACGAAAATTTGAGAAGCTCAGAAATTTACTTGACAATATTCCATATCATGAAATAAACTCTGATGAAGTTTTAACTCTGAGCAGTGTAGTTTATGAAGTATCAGAGTTTGAATTTCACTTTACCTACAAGAAAAATTATTTTATTGCTTTATGTATCGTTAATGATAATAATTTAATGTTTTACTGTAAATTATGGGAGACTGTTTGTTATGATGCGAGCTTATGTGCAAATGAAATAATTGAAGAAATGGAAGAAAAATATCAAATTATTAGTTTTTCGGATTTGAAATTTCCACTACCTTATGAAAAACATCAATGTTATGATAAATGTACACTGTAAAAAATTTCGGTGTAAAAGTTGGACTCGCAGAGACTTTTACACCGTCGTAAATGTGAAAAGTCGGTGTAAAATTTCCGTGTGAAATTTTCACTCGTGTAAATTTAACACGGTATGTAATTTACTGTTTTACACTATTCCGTGTTATTATTTATAACTTTGCAAACTTAATATGAGACTGCCGTGACTTGTGAACTATAAATAAATAAAAGTTTGCTTTATTAAATAATGACTTTTGTTAAATTGCACTGTACTTTTTTAACTAATGACTTTTTTAAAGATATAAGCTCATCCCGATGATACAATCATCAAGAGCTTTCATTTGAGTACCCACACGCATTTTGATATATTTTTTATATATTCATATATATAATATATATAAATATATGAAAAAATGATATGGGTACTTAAATGAAGGGTCGTGATGAGTTTAAGATCGAGATGAGCTTATATCTTAAAAAATGTCAGTAGTTGACAAGATACAAGGTCATTTCTTAATTATGTATCTAGAAATAAAG